TTTATTTTTTAATCTTAATTTTATTTTATTAACTAAATATAAAAAAAATTATAAATTAATTTTTTTCTTTTATGAAATTTGACATGAAAAATTAAAAAGTACAAAAAATTATTTTTTTATATTTATGTTATGAAATTTAGATATTTGATTGATTATATAACTTACTATAGACTCTTATATGTATTAAACATAAATTATATTATATATATTAAAAAATTTATTTAATATCAAAACGTGTCCCAACGTGTCGAAATATGACATTTTTTAAAATTAACATGTCGGCGTGTCGTATCGTGTCTCGTGTCAGTATCGAAGTATCGGTGCATCTAGAGGTGGCAAAGTGGGCGGCCCGCCCGCCCCACCCAACCCCGCCATCAACCCGTCAAAAAATGAGTTAGCCCGCCCCGTCCCGCTTTTGAAAGTGGGCTGAAAAACTAAGCTCGCCCCGTCCCGTTTGGCGGGTTGGGCGGGTTGGCCCGCCAGCCCGAGCCTATTTTACACTGACCCGCCTCGGCCTGCCTATGCCCGCTATCAACCCGCCAAAAAATGAGTCCGCCCCGCCCCGCTTTTGAGATGGGTTGAAAAACTCAGCCCGCCCCACCTCGTTTGATGGGTTGGGCGGGTTGGTCCGTCGAACCGAGCTCGTTTTGCGGTGTATCATAGCTTACCACAACGTGTTCTCAGAGATTGGTCAATGCTTTCAACTTCTGGATTTCAAGTTTCTATATAGAAGAATCAACTTCTAAATGTCCGCATATTTTTTTTGGTAGAGTGCTTACTTATTAAATTGCTTAAAAGACAACATTATCCAAAATTAATATTCCCCAAAATGGTAATATATATATATATATATATGTGTGTGTGTTCGCTTTTTCTATGATCAATGTAGATAACTTATTTAAATTGAGTCCAAAATGACGTCATTTGGAGACGGAAATTAAGGTATTTTTGTAATTATAATTTATTCCAGGGTTATAATAGTCTTTTTCATTATAACTTTTTAATTTTTCAACCGAAAACGAGGTCGTTTTGGGAGCGAATGTAGATAACTTATCTACATTCACTATAGAAACATTAAAGTCTATATATATAGGATAAATATTTTTACAGTCACTTTAGATAAGGTTATCTACAGCTACCCAAAAACTACGTCGTTTTGATTAATGAATGGTGTTTCTGTAATTTTAGATAAATTAATTAAGGGTGTTTCCGTAATTTTGTTTATTTTTTTATCATATGCATTTTACTGAAAACCCTTCATTAATTCACTAAAATTACATAAACAAACTCCATTCATCAAAACGACATAGTTTTTGGGTAGCTATAAATAATCTTATCTAAAGTAGTTGTAAAAATATTTTTCATATATATATATATAGGGGAAAATATTTCTACAGTTACTGCAGATAAGTTATCTGCATTTACTTTCAAAATGACGTCGTTTTGAAATTGAAAAATTAAAAAATTATAATTATAAAGACTATAATAACACTGAAATAAATTAAAATTACAAAAACACCATAATTTCCGTCCCAAAACGACGTCGTATTGGACTTACTGCAGATAACTTATTTGCAGTAACTGCAGAAAAAGCAAAACTCATATATATATATATATATATATGAGTTTTATTTTTATCATGTTACATGACAACAAACCATTTTCCTACACACTCATGATATATGTGGGGTCCATTATATAGTGGAATGAGAAAAAAATCAAAAGTGGAACCCAGCTTGAATTGTGTGTGTATAAAATTTGGTTTGTTGTTATGTAACATGACAAATCATTTTCCCTATATATATATATATATATATACCAAGGACATTCTTACGATTTCAAAAAAATCCAACGCACACAAACTGACAAAAGGAATAACCTAACAGCCGCCCTTGCTAAAATAAATCTTGGTCTGGCATTGTTTTCCTTTATATGTTTCTTATTCAGAGGAATGACACATACCACGAAACTTTTGTGCCATAGTAGGCATGGTTTGTTGTTGCTTTTAACGTCAACACCTCTCTTCTGCACTCACAATGGTTATCATGAGATCCACAAAAACTTTGTTCTGTTTTTATTCATTACGTGAATTTTATACGCCAATCTCGCTCACTAGTTTCTATATACAAATCATGAACATCCAATAAAAGCAGAATGGATAAACTACATAGGATACTTTACACCAAATCATAATCGATGATTTTTATCAATTAATAATTATTATTTATTGAAAATTAAATTTATTAATTAATTATTAATTTTTAATAAACGATAATTATTGATTGGTGAAAATCAACAGTTATAATTTGGTATCAAAATTCAAAATTTAATATCATTGTCAAAGGATACTACCCCAGCATAAATAATTAGTTATTAAACATTTATGTGTTGCAATTGGAGTTTTTTAATTTATCTACTCTAAGTCAAATATAGCTTTGGTACACACAAAGCACTATCCGGATCAAAACGAGGTTTGGCTCTCACAAGTCACAACCATTGATCAAAATGAGCCCTGTGCATATGTCATGCTTCCTCACTCACATCCACTACAATAATGCAAACATCCACTTAGATGCTACCAATATTTCTTGAAGGTCGAAGGTGGAGTCAACTATAGAGCGCTTATTTAACTTATTGCTTTTCAAGCTCGTTAAAGGTGGGTTATACACAAATTTGTTAAGACTCGAATCAGCTTGCATATGCTTTGTTTTCTTGAGAAAGTGAAGCCTCTCTAGTTGATTTCAGTGCCGAACTTGCTTATTTTAAACAATATATTAGAACGGGAATATACTCTATATAGATGAGACCTGGTTCAAGTGTTAGGTAGATTTGACTTGGCTTACTTCTTCTTCGAATGTAATTGTTTACTAGACATGAAATCAATGACACAAAAAATGAATATAGTTACTATCCTGGAAATTTTGTTTCAAGGAGAATAAAGAAAAGAAGAGAGCCAGAATTAAGGTCCTGCTGCTAAAATTATAGCAAATAGAAACTAATCTGGATAAATATTATACAAATACAAGGCCCAAAATTAAAGCCTTCACAATGAAGAAAAGCCTTAGTCCAAAAAGGCTGCAAGCTCCATAATATTAAAAGCACCATGACAGACAGCAAACTCCACAAACTGCTATCTCATCTATAACAGCAAGCTCATAACAGCCGTCAAGCTGCACAATATTAATGGCCTTATCTCATCAAGCTCCTCAACATTAAACATGGCAGCTCTAATACTTTGGCACCAAGACAAGTAAACTGCATCTTATCTCAGCCACCCACAAGAATCAATAGAGAAGAACCTTTGCCTTCACCATGAAGAAAGGCACCCTCCAAGCTGCACATCTCTCCACTATAAATACATGTATCAATACTAAGGTACATTATCTTCTCATACATAATTAAACATGTTTGAACCATATCTGACTTGAGCGTCGGAATGTCTTGCAAGTACACCCCATCGCGTTCCATCGAAGACCCATGGGATAAAGCAGCCCAACTGCAAGATGCTCTGACCCAAGACGGTTTCAGGCCTGTGTAGAGAAATATCACATGATCGGCCCAATTGTAAAGATTTGGTCTGATATAGCAATGCACTCATTTGTTAGGCAAAAATCCTCACACGTCTTTGCAATTGAATGTGGTTGATGCGATAAACATTTGATCTAATAGCTACTATTGGGTGGGGGTGCTATAAAAAAGAATCCCAAATGTCTTTCGGTCAAAATGCGATAAAACTTATTTTGATTTACATAATAATTCTGAGTTACAGCAAAGGAAAAAAGTAAAAATTTTAATAGAATACAAGAGTAGTTATTAGATAAAATAAAAAAGATAGAGGCCACTCACCCATCTAAGAGGTAACTGTGTCATTATTCTGACTAAAAAATTTCACAAAAATTTTGCTCTTTCATTTTATTTATTTTTAATTCTCAAGGGATTCAAGTTAAGAATGTAAAATGGTTATGATGCATGAGAAAACTTGGGAGTGTTTTTTTTTTGTTTTGTAATATTTAATATTTTACAGTTTTGAAATGCGTCTTTAAAGTGTTTCATAGCCATGTGGGGTTCCATAAACAACCGAATATACACATATCTGTGTTTTCAAAAACAAATCTGAGTGCAAAAACGTGAAACAACGATTATATATAATCGATGGCATAAAGATAACTTGAATAATACTTCATCTAATAGATGGTCATAAAGTATACAACCTTGCATAAACAATTTATTCAAACCTTATCAACAAACACACTTATTCCTTTCTTACTCCCAACGCTACTTCTATGTCAATTAAATTATCGTTGACATTGCTTCCTTCCGTCTCCGATAATAGTTTCATGTCCACCTCGTTGACATTTTCTCATTACAATAAATTAATAATCAATTAAAGAATTCATATGAAAGCATTTGAACTTTGTGTGTGTTACACAAAAAGTAAGAATGAAAAAATGCAATCATCGTTTAAATCAGGTGGCAGTTCACCCCGCATGCACTAGCAGCAACTTAGGGCATTTAGGGGGTGCGCTAAAACTTTTTCCATTTAATATGGTAAAAATAAATTAAAATTTTGTCCATTAGTTGGTCTTACACATCATGGCACACGAGGGTCATGTAATTTCACATGTATAATATTTACCACTCCATTCCTTTTAACATTAATCCTCAGGAAAAATTGCAATGCATAACCAATGTCTGTTCCTTTTCCCTTCTATTCCAAGATTGGCAAACTGGGCAGGGAAGTGGTACCATAGATAGAATCTCTAAAAATAAATATTTGATTACATTGATTTCCACTTGGACTTTAGCTTTAGCCTACGAGTTGATTCCGATCTTGGGTTGATAAGCACAATAAATCAACCATTAGTCAAATGAATAAAAACAAACAAACCATGTCACAAAATAACTGCTCTATTCAGAAACTCACTTCAAAACTCCGGTTCTCTAGCCAGTCTATGCAAAATGATAATAATGTATTACTAACTCAGTCCTAGTTCTTAGAGAAAAAAAAAAACGAATGGAAGTAGTATTTTATAATGATGGAAGCTTCTAATTTACGTTCAGTTAGTGATCATTTTAAACTGGAATCTGGAAAGCTGCTGAGGAATGGTGGATATAACTGGCCCATATCTCTGCAACCAAGGGATGAACAAATGTTATGACACAGCATAAAATTACAAGCATATCTTGAATAATAAGCAAAGTTGAGTGAATTAGTTTCAAAACTAAATACTATGATCAATCGTAAGATGAAAACTTTAAACATGCACCCAAACAGTTGCCATACCTGAACATTGTCATAGAGTTCAAACAATGGAACAGCAAGCAGTTTTAGGTTTTTGGGCACAGCAAAGTATTCCCTCTCAGATAAGTGAACAAGGAAAAGCTTCTTGCACTCCTGCATACAAGACATTCAATGATCTTGTAAGAATAGACCAACAGAACCAGGAACACAAGAATGTTCAATGATATTGTGTTGGCAAATTACCTTGGGTTTTGTTATATGAGGAGGGCAGTATGGATACATAATGGTTTCAAAATTTGGCCTCCACCAGATTGCCACACACTCACCTATCTGCAGGATTCCAAGGATAAGTGCAAATGAACAATAACGAATATGAGCATAGTAGAAAAATGCCAAATTTAACATGTCTCTTCTGAGTTCAAACATTTAAAAGTAAGTAATAATACCTGCCAGTCAGGCACAAGAGCTGCTGAATTAGCACCAAGCTTGCTAGTCAACTTTCTCTTCAAGCCCTCGATTTCTGCAAAGAAAGTTAAATAACAGCCCAAAAAGAAAAGTACATTAGGATAATTGCAAGCAGCTATTTGCAGATTATCATATTCAAAGGAAGTAAGATCTTACCATTTTCTCCTGGCTTGAGACGACCACCTGGGAGTTTGCAGAATGTGTTTCCAATTTGCAGAAGAAGTATATGTGGATGATTGTGTTCTTGTACCTGCAAAATTAAAGCATAAAACTGAGACAGGAGAATAAACAGAATCGCCATGGATGAGAATGTAACAACGGGATAATAGAACATTTACCATGACAGAAAGAAAAGGAAAACACATTATAAGAACAAGTAATTAAAAAAGTAAATCACTAAATGTTTAATCACTTTAATGTCTCAGGTGAGTTTAGCCTTAGTGGGACCCACCCTTTCTTTCCACTTAGTTGGGCTCTTATGGTCCCAGTGTGTCTGGGCTTTGTTGCAACATCCTTTATAAGAAAAGGAGTGGTCTAGTACACAAGGCTCCCGTCATTGCGGGGATGGAGAAGATCAGATGTACACAACCTTACCCCCATTAGGAGAGAGGATATTTGCACGATTAGACATTGTGACCACCAAGTCAAAAGTTAACAATCTTATTGTTGCACTAAAACTCACCCTCTCAAAATGGGCAGCACAATACATAAGGCTCCCACCATTATGAGGTTTGTGGAGGGTCAAATGTACATAGTCTTACCACTATCCAGTCAATTCTTTATTACTAACCAAAACAGCAAGATAAGTTTATACCAAATTTGTCATTTTAACTTATTGTACAGTTTATAAGGTTACCTTCTGAATCGACTCGAATAAAGATGCACTACAATGCAAATTTTGTAGAACTAGGTTCAATATATTGAAGTTGCATGGGGGAAGTGGATGGGACAACAGTGCAACATAGGGTATGATAAAATCGAGCCAAGCATTCTTCTATTTAGATAAATACTGCAACCAAATTTTGTCATACTAATCTTTTAAGTTCACCAAGCCATTGACAAAATTGTCCCAATTCACAAGTATAACTCAAATCTCAACCAACACTAGTTCCAACTTTTAGCATCCAACAAGAGAATGTTTACAAAGTTAAGATCATGACATCAATATTGTTTCTTATCTGCCACAATAACAAAAATTAAAATTTTCTTAACTGCAAACCCCAAACTGGTAGATAATCAAGATAATAGAAATAATTTTCTAGCTAATGATGAATTTATATAAGATGACTACTAATAAATATTAAAAAATAGCCGTGCGTCAATATTTAAAAAAACTACTCATATTTTAACCTTAAAAAAAATACTGAACGTACCAGTAAAATTCCTTCCACGCTGGTCCTCATTCCTTCTTTCATATAGCTGAAGTTTAGAAACAAAGGAAATAATTATATTTCAGAACAGCTAGTGTATATAATGAATTTGAACAGTACACGGGACAAGAAACAAGTAAAATGGTTATATAAGAAGAACCCCAGTTCTAAAAAGTTTCCCTTTCCCTTTCCCTTTCCACCAATCCATTTTTCTCCTAGATTCAACCGGAAGAGAACTCGAGATTTCAAAATCCTGTCTATGTGACAATTTAAGTATTCAAATTACTAATTACATTCAGAAAAGTTAACTTTACAAAAAAAAAAAAAAAACTGTTCTGTTCTAAACTTCATATGTCTTCAGAAACTCCTTATTCTCAGCGCCCCATCTTGAAAATGAAGATTTTTTTTTCTTTTTTAATTAATCAAAAATGTGATGTTCTCCAGATGCATACTTACGAGAGAAAACAATAAAAAAAAATGAATAAAATTACTGAAGAGACGGAAACCTTAAGAGCCAAATATCAAAAACAGTCCACAATACATATAATTCCCCAGAGGTTTCATAATGTGGAAAAATCTAATGCAAAAGCTCTATTTTATAAAAGAAAAATCGAAATAGGTATCTGGGGTGGTGTTGGAAGAGGAATTGAGGGCGTTCTAGGGTTTTGACTGATATTCAGTGACCTAAACAGTAACCACCGTTTCAATTTCAAATATAACAGAAAAGAAAAAATGGTGGAAAAATGAGGAAAGATACAAACTTGACTTTCATGCGAGCGAGACGATCAGCGACAGATGTGTCCTTCTCCATCTTGGGTTCCTTGGTACCGAAGGTGTAGCTGGACAGCGGGTATGTGTTCACCACCTGAGATGACACCATCTTGCGTTGTTCTGTGTTGTGTGTTTTTTCAGAAAAGATGTTGTGTTGTGTTGAAGCAGAGAATGGAAGAAACTCAATCCGTGTTTGTATTTCGAAAATTCCTATGATTGGGTTTTGGGTTTTATATCATTTCTATTGTTGATGTTTTTGTCTTCGAGGCTTTCATGCTGGAAATTGGAAACTACTTATAAACCAGACCTCAACACCAGATCATGGGCCATGGCCCACTCCCCTCAATAACAAAGTAGCTAACACCATATCTTAACCGCATATGGTCATTGTAATGGAAACTACTTATAAAATAATGAAATATGAGATTAAAATAAAATTAGAGTGAAAATGGTAAATAGATCCATATCTTAACCGCATATTTCTTAAGAGATTATGATACAATTTATTCACATCTCAACAATAGAAGATAATAAAGATACAGGGATAAAACTCTTATCCCTATAATTTAGAGGTTGAAAATAAAAGGCTAAAGACTTCGTTTACACTTATTTATTATTATTGTTAACACTGTGCACATACTCATTTCTTTGGTATATGTCTGTTGATAGTGCGGAGTGATTGGAGTATTGGTTATAAATCAATCAGAATATTTATCGCTAAGATATCTATGAGCATATACCCTAAGGTATCTTTACACGATTCCATAGGATCGAACAGTCATAAAAAATGAAAATTGATACTTTTTTAAGCTTGACCTTATATATAACAACACTCAGTTTTGTAATTAGTCTTACATTCTCTATTTGTAAAAGAAGATAGACAAAAAAAAAAAAAAATTGACGTGTTATTCTATTTTATACTTAAAATTCTTTAAAAAGTAGTTAAAATATAAATTTAGATATAATTTTGTTTTATTTGATGATCAGAATTATCTAAATTTTTTTAATTTTAATAATGTAAAATTACATGATAATATGTTTTCTATTAAAACTAAAAAAGAAATTATGAGAAAGGAAGCTACTTTAAAATATATATATATATATATATATATAAATATATATATATATATATATATATATAGGGATATATTTTTCTTATGTTGTAGGAAAAGAATTACCTCATGTTGTAGAAATAAAAGTATAAGTAGGACCCACATGTAAGAGGAGAGAGAAAAAAAAAGTGGTGGGACCCAACCCTTTTTGTGTGTGTAGGAGAGATGTTTATCTCATGTAAAATGAGATAAACATAACCCATATATATATATGGGTTTTACTTTTCTCCAGTAGCTTGACGTTCAACAAATAAATTCAAAAAATCATAATCATACAAAGGTGGGTGAAAATATTAAAATACGAAGAATCATAATCAATCAACGGTGTAAGATTTATTACTAGACGTCTAGCAGCCGGATAAATAATTTTACCTATATATATACCTGCGATATAAATACCCCATTTCAAGAGCGAGTTTTTTTTTTTATATAAACATTTCAACAGCGAGTTTAATCCAATCTTGTGAACGAAGAATTTATATTTTGTCACATGTTTTATTTTTTATTATTTTGTTACAAATATATTTTTCAATTCATTTAATAAAATTTTTATTATAAATTAATTATAATATGTCTTTAAAAATAATTTAGATGACTAAAGTAATATCAACAAATAATAATTACAAAATATAAAAAAAAGCTACCAAAATGGATGTGTCATGCTGTGATACCCGGATTCGCACATTTTTTAAAAAAAATGTGTGTGGGACGCAGACACGTTTCGACACGCAATCAATATTTTGGAACACGCGGTCAACTCTCTGACACGTTCCGACATATTTTTTTGACACACAGTCAACTTTTTCCGACACGCGGTCAACGCTCTGACACGTTCTTTTTTGTTTTTATTTTACTTTATTAACTAAAGGTAAAAAAAATTATAAAATATTTTTTTCTGTTATGAAATTTGACATGAAAAATTAACAAAGTATGAAAAATTATTTTTGTTTATATTTTTGTTATGAAATTTGAATATTCGATTGATTATATGACTTATTATAGACTGTTATATGTATTAAATATAAATTATATTATATATATTAAAATTATTATTTAATATCAAAATGCGTCCCAACGTGTCGAAATATGTCATTTTTAAAAAATTAACGTGTCGATGTGTCATGTCCCGTGTCCCGTGTCAATGTCGGTGCAATATAGGTGTCATGTATGGATGACGCAAAGAAAAAAAAAATACTCCATATGTATAGAGAGATATATATCGCAAATAGATCAAAAAACTATATTTGTCGTTAGCAAAATATAACAAACTTATGCCTAAAAGAAAACTTATTTTAAAAATAGGCAATAGATTTATTTTTAAAAGGCCTAACCTCTAAATTTATAAAATTATAGGTGCAATACCTTGTTACATATCAGGTCGTTAACATTGCATAATATTAAGTACAACGTAATAATAAAATTAAATTAAAAATATTCTTAAAATTTGACTATACAAAAGTCAAGTTCAATATTACATTCGAAGTATATCATGATCTAAACTGAAAATAAATATTTTTATTCTATTAGTTGCTCCACTGAACTCTGTACAGTATTCAAAGTCCTTATTCATAGTGTTTTATACTACTCCAAAGCTACACTTATTGGCATGATTACTTTCTAGAGTATTATCATAAAAACAAATAAATAAACACGTGAGAAAAAATCTCCGTAATATTAGGTTTTCGAACTATAACTAATCTAATCACTTTAGTGAAAAATATCATTCTCCCATGATATGTGTATAACATTATAATAATAAACATTAAAAATAATATGTAACATTGAAATGAAACTTCTCAAGCCCATACTTTTGTGAGTTCTTTATTTCTCACATATCTAAATCTTTGTGGGTTCTATCCAAACATTTGTGGATTTTTGCATATAAATATATAAAGGAACATGTAATATTTAACTAAAATCAGGGGCGGACTTGTATTGGTGCAAGTGTGTGCAAGTGCACGCACAAATTTTTGGAGAAAAAGAGAGAGTATATTTTGTGTCCTCAATAAAAAAAAAAAGAGTGAATACCCTTTTTAGTCCCTGGAAATATTTGCGAAGCACAATTTACTCCCTCGGTTGAAAAAAGTCACATTTCAGTGTTTCATTTTTAAAAAAATGGGACACGTTTATCCTTCTGTTAAGTGAAAAGTGACAGCCCTGTTGACGGACGCCACCTGGAACGTTAAGTGGCTGAGTCACTAACGTCCTGCCCACGTGGAGAGAAAACGACGTCGTATTGATAGTTGCCTTGTGTCTAGTTGGATGTTTGGACATGTGACCGTTGCATGAAAGGGTGAGTGACCCAATATAGTCCCTGCCAAATTTAGAACCCTAAATCAGCCTAAGAATAAAAAAAAAAACCCAAAACACATTTTGTTGAAGATTGAATAGAGTGTCAAGTAGAATGTGTTTACTGGCTATTTTCTGGTGCATAGAAGAAGATGACTATGTTATCTGGCTTGGGGGATCAAGTTTTCTGGTGCATTTGGGAGTAGAACAACCTGACAGAATTTTGGACGAAGGTGCAAGATGTTGTTCAACAAGATCTGAGTATGAAGGTGCAGGAGAGAAAGCAGTGATGATTGCAATGGTTGTAACAATGAAATGCATTATACGAAATGTAGTTTTTCTTGAATGAAATTGAATGACTTGTTGACCACTGTGATGAATAATGTTAAGAAGATGCACTTTTGGTCCCTGGATATTGGAACCTAATGATATAAACTAGAACCCAATTTAGTCCCTGGATATTGGACCCTGATGATATAAACTAGAACCCAATTTAGTCCCTGGATTTTTTATCGAGGGCCAATTAGGTCCTTGAAAAAATATATCGGGGCACTTTTTGGTCCCTGACAATTAAAATTTGGACATGACCTGTTTAGACTAAATTGGACACAAGCTGCAATTCAAAAGTTGTTCATCACAAAGACATAATGCAACAATTCAAAAATCAGCAAGCTGCAGCAATTCAAAAGCTGCAATTCATACAAGTTGCAATCCAAAAATTGGACATGAACACATTGCATTCAAATTTGTCCAAACAGCAACGACCAAACAGTACCCAGAATTGGACCACCTGCATTGTAGCCAGAATAAAAAAGATTCGTACACAAATTAACAAATCAGCATACAGATACAGCTTGCAGCAATGGGAAACAACTGATATAAAAAAGGAAGTTGTAGTCAGTTACAATTGCATACCCTTCCATCATAATTAAAGGCTTGTCAAAAAACAAAACCTATGATGGGCACCAGAACCTATGGGGGTACAAAAAAATACAGTCATGAACTTTGTTGCCAATACAACAAAAAAGTGAACCCCTATACAAAAAGCTTATGCCCCATCATGACAGTGTAATCATAACAGTATTAAACTTCATATGTTCATTGCCATGTGGGTTGTATTACTCCAAAACTCAATAACAATTGCTATTGACATATTCTTAGTATATCATGAAAGGGTCGAGTATACACAATTTCACATTTTATAGCACATAAAACAGAAATACAAAGCCATGTAATCATGGCATCTTGTGAATTTTAATCATCACCAAACAGAACTACATTGTCATTACATTTCATTGAAGAAAAAAAACATTTCGATCACTACATTTAATTGTTACAACAATTGCAATCAAAAAATAAATCATCAAAAACCCTACACAAGTAGCAACTAAGACCCTAGCAACATGCCTAATTTCCTTGTCCATCTTATCTAACTCCTCCACCATCTTCAGGTATAGCTCATTCAGCTTTCTTTTCTGCACCTTGATATTCAGTTCTTGCTCACTAATCTTCACACCATGGTCATTCAACTTAGCTTGCAATTGGTCACTGATTATCATGTCCACATGCTTCAGCTTGAAATCCATTTCAGCAACATCCAACTCCACCTTGTTGATTCTTCCATCTTCAAGCTCCAAGCTTTCATTACATACATCATCTACCCATCTAAGAAAATTACAAAAGGGCTTCTTATCCTGCCAAAATTTCAGTCCACCGTAAGCAAATATTCCAAGTTATCAAAACTCAATTTACAAATGTATACCTTGAAATTAGGGCACCCAAAGAATGCCCTATTTGGGTTTCTCTCTGTTTTGGAGGTATAGACGATTGTTTGCCTCCCACATTTGCACCTTCGACCGCCAGGTAGTCCCTTTGTTCTACAACCAATAGACGTACTCCCACTTGATCCCCCCAAGCCAGATGACATACTCATCTTCTACGCACCAGAAAATAGCCAGTAAACACCTTCTACTTGACACTCTATTCAATCTTCATCGTGGGGAGCTTTTGGGGTTTTTTTTGTTCATGGCTTAGGCTGATTTAGGGTTCCTAATTTGACAGGGATGAATTTGGGTCACTGACCCTTTCATGCAAGGGTCACCTGTCCAAACATTGGGATAGACACAAGACATCTACCTAAACGACGTCGCTTTCTATCCACGTGGCCAGGACGTTAGTGACTCAGCCACTTAACGTTCCACCTGTCCTCCGTCAACAGGGCCGTCACAATCCATGTAACAGAAGGACAAACGTGTCCCTTTTTTTCAAAAATTAGACACTAAAATGTGACTTTTTTAAACCGAGAGACTAAATTGTGCTTCGCAAATATTTCCAGGGACGAAAAAGGGTATTTACTCAAAAAAAATTATAGGGCCCAATTTAATCTCTTAGAAAAAAAAGTCGACTATCCGTTCTTCTGAATTTCAAAATATACCCAGTTAGTTAAAATTGTGGTTCCTCTGAAATTCAAAGAAGACCTACATTAGTCCCTTAAAAAGACTAACATGTGTCTATTTTGAAATTCAGAGGGATCACGAGTCATTTTTTTTCTAAGGGGTTAAATTAGATCTCTTAGTTTTTGTTGAGAACTCAAAAGGTACTTTATTTTTGTAGTAAGTTCTAATTTTCTTTTCTTTTTTTGTTTATATTCTTTTTGTTTTTTAATACATTTAAAACTTTTTTTTAAAAAAAAAATCGGGGCATTACCACCGAACCCCTATCCCTAAATGTGCAGATATAAATAAAATTGCTTGGGTCCGTCACTGACTGAAATGAGTAGTGCTCAATTCTGTGAGCGGCCAAATTCTGTTGAGTTCTGTATGTAAAAGGTTTTGTATGGCGGAACTCGAGTCATGATAAGGCGTCGCTTGCTCTATAACTATTATAATCTCCTTATGGGTCAGTCACATCATAATCATTCAGTAAAATATTATATATTGCATTAACATCCATTTGGTACCAAAGGTAGTTCTATAATTTTGATTATAAATCATTCTCATAACTAATATTAATACATTTATCAAATTTACAAACTCAAAGATAGAAGATAAATCAAAATAATAGAAAGAGTAACAACACATTCACAAATTTTAAAATAAATAACTTCAAAATACCATTTTTACGTATAAAAAGAATAAAATTAGGAGAATGGTATTTTACTCTCAATATTACCTTTAAATAAATAACTTCAAAATACCAACTTCTTTTGTAACAATAAGCCTACTTATATCACATTATTTATTTTAAATAAAACAAAATAATTATTTAAACATTTTTTCTATTTTTTCTTACTTCTAAAAGGTAATGGAGAGGAAAGAATTTTGGTTCAATCCCCATATGTCACCATTGGGAGGGGCTTAAAATTTTTATCCTTGACCTGTCATGCACTTCGAATTAATCCTATAGCCAACTCAAAGAGTCAAAGTTTGTGAAGATTTCAATGGAAGCCTACGAGCCTCAAAGAGATAATTAAAGTATGTTTCCAAAAAAAAAAGGCTTAAATAAATAAATGGGAAAAACTACTCTCCATCCGTCGGAGAGTAGTTTATTTTCCTACAGAGACATTGAACTTTTAAATTTTTTATTTGTATTTTTTATTTGATAATTATGTGGGTCCCATTATATGATTGTGAAAGTAATAGGAGATAATCTCCCTTATGCAACTGTAAATTAGTAAAGCCCTAAATAAATAGCTCAAATCATATATTTTTTTTTTTAAATTAAGGCATGTGAAACCTATAATTAAGACTTTATTGGGCCAAGGGTGTGTATGACAACATTCCAAAAGATAATTTTTTTTATTAATTTTTAGTCTATGGAACAAATTTGGTAAAAGATTGTGCTTGATGAAATTGATTTATTTTTTTGCTCCATAGAATGAATTGGTAGCCCTAGAACAAATTTTTTTATTTTTTTTTTATTGCTGAACATGCTATTTATTAAATTCAAATATCGTATAATGTCTTGTTAGGATTTAAAATTTGAACAAAGTCAACAATCATGTATTCGAGTGGCAAGGAATTTGTCCCTCTTATTGAGATGTATCGAGTTTGAGTTCTAACAATAGAAAAAATTGTTAAGAGAGTCCACCCTTTGTAACGACTACAACACTACTTGAACTGAATTATTGGATAATTGATAAACTAGTAAATATATAAAAAATGTTGAACAAAAGAAGGAAGTGAATCATCTCATGTGAAAATTTCACATAACTTAGTTAGTGAATGATTTTCCACCAACAATTTTTAAGAACTAACTAGCGCTTAGGAATTGATGAAGTTTCTAATATATATAATTAAGAATCCATTCTCAACTTGATTGTTAATTCTTGAAATCTATTGATAATAAAAAGTCATTATTCAAGGCATCAACTAATTGACTAAAAAAAACAATGGAGTAGTAATTAATGAGTTGTATATTTCTCTTTGATAAAGTGGTATTAATCTCAATATATATTATCCAATTGTGTTGGATAGGATGGTGAAATATATAGAAAGCTGACTTAATATTTGTAACTAAACACTTAAGTATTTCAAACTCGTTTATTTAAGCTTTTTAAGGGAAAAATATTTTTTATTTAAAAATATGCCTAAAGTATTTACAATACTTTTTTAAACATAACAAATAGGGGTAGAATATTGTAACAACCAATTAATGTTGCTATCAATATTACTACATCAATTTTACCATTAGATCGATTATGTTAATCTAACGGTTATATTTATTTTTATCTTTGTATGATTATGATTTCTCATATTTAATACTTTATATTTATTTTCATCTTTTTATGGTTATGATTTTCCATATTTAATGCTTTCATATTAAATATGAGAAATCATAACCATAAAAAGATAAAAATAAAAATAACCGTTGGATCAACATAATCAATCTAACAGTGAAATTTATTGGCAGTGACAATATCTTTCTCCTAACAAATATTAAAAAATGTTTTTGTTCTTTTTTAGAAATTTAAAAAGTATCTTCTAAAAAAATATAAAAAAATTATGTCATAACAGTACTTTTCTAAAACTTAATAAACGCGCTCTTATTTTACTTATTTTTCAAAGGAAAACAGATTTTTGATTTTCGAATACACTCACTTTTACTTTTACGTGAATGTAGTAAAAAAATTTCTTTACAATTTAATATTTTTTTTCTTCGACGATTTTCGTCTTGTTTGTATTTCTCAACGAGGAGGACTGGGAACGAGAAAAAATAAATAAAAAATAAAAGAAGCTTGAGGGACGAACGATACCCTTCTTCTGATAAAGGCGGAAGCGCGCCAAATCTACTTAACTTGCCAAACACACCACCGTGCGCTCCGGTGCACCGGCGCCACCACCACCGTCAACATGGGAAAGCAAAAACAACAAGTGATTTCCCGTTTCTTCGCGCCCAAACCCAAAACTCCATCACCAACCACCGATTCAGTTTCACCTTTATCTTCTTCTTCGGTTCAGAACCCTCCAACTCCCAAAATCTCAACCACCGTCACTTTCTCTCCATCCAAACGCCTCCTAACTTCTCAGTTAACTTCCCCTCACAAGCCACCCAAACTCCCCAAACTGTCCCCTCACACACACAACCCTCTGCTCCCTCCTCCACCCGATCACTCCCTCCACCAGCGTTTCCTCCAGAAGTTTCTCGAACCTTCCCCACACTCACAACCCCATTCGTCCTCCAAACCCTTAAAGTACACTCCTTTGGAGCAACAGGTGTTGGAGCTCAAAGCTAAATACCCTGATGTTCTTTTGATGGTTGAAGTCGGTTACAGGTACCGTTTTTTCGGCCAAGATGCTGAGAATGCTGCTAGGGTTTTGGGTATTTATGCGCATATGGATCATAATTTTTTGACTGCTAGCATACCAACTTTTCGATTGAATGTCCATGTGAGGAGGCTTGTGAGTGCAGGGTATAAGGTTGGTGTGGTTAAGCAGACCGAGACTGCTGCCATTAAGGCTCACGGTTCGAACCGGTTAGGCCCGTTTTGCAGAGGGTTGTCGGCATTGTACACCAAGGCCACGCTGGAGGCGGCTCAGGATTTGGGGGGAGAGGAAGAGGGGTGTGGGTCAGAGAGTAATTACTTGCTGTGTGTTGTGGAGAAGAGCATTTTGGGAGAGAAATCAAATTGTGGGGTGGAAAGTGGTTTTGATGTGAGGATTGGGATTGTTGCTGTGGAGATATCAACGGGGGATGTTGTTTATGGAGAGTTTAATGACAATTTTTTGAGGATTGCGCTTGAGGCTGTTATTGTGAGCTTGTCTCCCGCTGAGTTGCTTCTTGGGGACCCTCTTTCCAGCCAAACAGAGAAGGTAGTTTTTATCTGCAAGAGTGTTAATAGTCTTAGAAGAAATGAACTCTCACTTTTTAAGAATTGTATTATTGTTTCTGTTGTGTTATAAATAGAACTCGAGTCTATAGTTGCTGCACTTTATTTGAAATGATTTTGATTGATGGATGGTTGATGCTTGAAACTGCAATTGTTTATGTATCGTACATGGACCCTGTCAGAAAGAATTTGAAATCCAGATTTCACGGTAACTTTTTTCTTGGCCTGACTTCAGGGCTTGCTTGTTGGAAGAGATAACAATTTAGAGGATGATGTTGAATTATGTCGTTTGTTAACATCGCTTCTTGTTTAAAATTGGAATCATTTCGATAGCTGAATTCATTTTTTTAAAATAAATATTTCACGCTATTTGGTTGATGGAATAAGCGAAATATTTCCAGGCAAGGATGTTTATTATAAAGGGAAAGTATAAAAAAAAAGGGTTTGGTGTTTGTCATTTTAAATGACATAAGTTATGTCATTTTAGGAGAGATATAGACACAGAAAAACAGAAATCATGGGAGAGAGAAAGTGAGTGGTTTTTTTTAATTTAAAATTCAAATTTTCTGTGTCTGTATCTCTCTTAAAATGACATAATTTTCTGTCATTTAAAATGACAAACACTTTTTCCAAAAAACATTTCGATGCATTGATTATTAAAAATTATGTTTCAACTGCTAACTTGGAAGATGGTGATACAATACAAATACCTTATCTTGATTCAGATATTTGGTGTGACAATCTGGTTTAGATTCTCTTTTGAATGCATGGATGGAATTTTGAATTATCTGAACAGAGGACCAAAGTTGCTAGTATTGGATGTTTTGATTTGAACCACTTATCGACACAATATAATGCAAGGGTGTTTCCATTGTGGTCGGTATGAATTAATCCAGTCTCCTATATTTAAGTTAACGTACTCAATTTGGTTCTCCAAAGATTTTGAACATCAATTTTGGTCTGTCAAAGTGTAAAATAAGCATCATTCAAATTGATGTCCAAAATCATTGGAGGACCAACATGTGTTTTTAGAGGATCAATTTGAGTTTATACGCATACCCTTTATGCATAGTGCATATTTTCCTGTACAACATGATTTTTCATTCTCTCAAATTTCGTGTAATTCACTACGTCACGAAACAATTTTCTTATTTTCGTCATGTTCCTGAGTATTCGTAGAAATCTTCTCTTCAAACAAACAGAAAGACATTTTAACCACTTGAAGATTGTTGAAATGATTTTATGCTTGGCAAGCTTATTTCTGACTTGATAGTTGTTGTCCTTAATATTTTTAGAAAATTTTATGCTCATCTTAAATCATGCAATCCTAACATGGAGACATATTCTCATGATCACTAGATGCTTTACAATAATAATCCGCATAGAAAAACTCAAAATAACCAATATCAATTCTCTACCTCCCTAAGATCCTATGATGTGATTGGGTGATCTATTATTAGTTATTACTGGCTTTTGCTGGACCTGCCTCAAATGTTCGTGTGGAGCGTACCTCACGAGATTGCTTCACTGGTGGAGGTGCTCTTGCTGAAGTAATGACAGTGTATGAGAACATGCATGTAGACAGTCCACCAGATTCAATGCGAAGCAATGATTTGTCTGAACACAGAAGTCAGCAGTTGGTCGTCAAGGTACCAATTAGTCAATTACTGATATTCATAAAAGTTGTTATTCTTACAGTACGCTTTGAAAAGTATTAAAATCATAATTGCTTGTTAGTTTGAGCATGCATTGTTCTCTTAGTCAACATCTGTGTTCTGATTAATAATCTTGTCACTGGAATTTGTTATCATAGTTGATTTTAGTTTATGATGAATACAACCAATTGCTGAATTTTCATATACTTCTCTTTTCTATTTAAGTTTTGTTTGTTTTATTTTTTCTTCCCCAGAAAATCATATGCCTGCAAATTTTATTTCATTTTTTGTACTTTCTATTGATAACCATCTTTCTTTCTCTTTTGTATATAAAGGAGGTGATGAACATGCCAGATTTGGCTGTCCAAGCTTTGGCCTTAAGTATTCGCCATTTAAAGGAATTTGGTTTTGAAAGAATTCTGTGTTCAGGAGCATCTTTAAGGCCCTTCTCGAGCAATACGGAAATGAGCCTCTCAGCCAATGCACTTCAACAACTGGAGGTAATAAACACTTTACTTTTCTTTTCTTGAGAATGTTTAGTAAGGACCGGAACATATTTTTGTTTGGAAGTATGACAATTATTAACTGTGCTTATGTGTGGGGGATGAAATTGTTTTCACAATCATTTTGCAAAGTAATTAAACTTTGAAGACTTTCATCCAAATGTTAACAGAAAGGTGATAGAACTGGATCAGAATGTAGGAAAGAAATGGAAAGTTTATTCAAAGAAACCTCTGTCCCTGGATCTGTATCAGTGAGATACAAGCTCAGAGATGAGGAAATGAAAATACATGATAGTACAGAACTCTTCCAGGTGTTCGAGAGACCTGGACTCTCCCTCCCAAATTCCACTTCCAAACCAAAAGACTCATCCCTATTATTTCCCTCCTACTATTTATAATGTTCTAACTAACTAGGGGCCAGGGGGGTCTTTTTCCCCTCTCTAATTAACTAACGGATGTAACTAACTACTATTGATACTTAGAGATCTAACAAAAGGTGTTCATTATAACTATGATAAGCTAATATTCAGTTAAATTTCTCCATTATGTCTGTGTCACCATAGTCTTCACTAATTACTGTTCCTACAAATGTACACTATGACTACCATTTTCTTTTTGGCACTGCTGAGGTACATGGATAAATTGGCACAGTTAATCACATCCAGTCAAATCAAAACCTAAACTGCCCTTTCTTTCTTTGGTTCAGGTATTAGTTCTTGTAGATTCATATAAAAATATAGCAATAAAGTATCATGGCTTCTTGCTGGCTAGTGGCCACAGTATGTATAGCTGCATTCTTTTACAAGGGGCCACAAGATCATGGATGATTCCATACTATTATTTTACAACATATAATGAAATTTATTTTCCACTAGTTTTCTTGTGTAAGCTAGAATTGTTTGGTGTTTTCTTCATATCAGCTTAAAATTTCCTTTGCAGATTCTTGCTGCTAATGAGTGTTTCATATGTTTTCAGGTTTTAAGAAATAACAGTGATGGATCTGAAAGTGGTTCCTTGTTGCAAATTATGAATCACACTCTTACTATATTTGGCTCCAGGCTTCTTAGGCATTGGGTATTGGATGCTTCCACTCCTGTATACCACCATTGAATGTTGAATTCTCGATAGTCCTTTCTTTAATTGTTGTTCTTGTACATGATACAGGTATCTCACCCATTGTGTGATAGAACCTTGATTTCTGCTCGTCTTCATGCTGTATCTGAAATTGCAGAGTCCATGGGATCTTGTAATGGCACGAAGAATCTTGGATGTGTTGAGAAAGATTCTGATGTAGCAACTGTGCAATCTATGTTAGCATACGTACTTTCGTTGGTTTTGACTACTCTGGGCCGGGCACCTGATATTCAGCGTGGGATTACAAGAATTTTCCATTGCACTGCTTCCCCAGCTGAGGTGAGAGATGGCTTCTTGTTGGTCCACTCATGTATTTCACTATATTTTGTAATTTAACTAAGGGAAAAGAGTTTGTTATTTTAAAGGACATAACTTTATGTCATTTTAAATAAAAGGACCATGTTTTGGTATATATTTGTTGGCCTTTTACATTCTCTCTCCTCCACAAATAACACAAAGTTTCACTTAAAATGACACAAAGTTGTGCCCTAAAATGACAAATGTTTTCCCCTTTAATTAATTGTCTTCATCTTCCTTGTCATTTCTTTTCACATCTGAGCTTTACACGAGAGATGGAGGTTGGAAGAGAACTTAACATATTATGTAATTACTTAATGGCAAGATTCTCTGCTTGGACATAGCAAGATTTCAACCTTCTGATGTGAGTCTTTGGTCCATATTATATTTAAGAACAACAAGCATGCCAATAATTTTTTAGTAATTCTACAGTACATGGTTTGAGGCTTTGAGTGGGAGCAACCAAGGATAAAAGCTTGATTCAGTACACCATTCGAGTTGTACAAGTGTGTTTGCAAGTGTAACATGAGCGTGGCACAGATGAGGCCTTGATGCCTAATATATAAGTGTTTCTTTAATCTTTACCAAAATATGAGGAATATATCAGGAGTTTGCCAATTTTCTGTACAAACTTTGGCTTCTTTTAGTAGGTCTTTAGAATTTGTGCATTAAAAGTAAATCTCTCTTCTCTTGTTTGTATATTGTTGAGATATATAGTCCCACATTGGTTGTATGTGCAACTAATGTGGAGTTTATAAGGCCTTGGGCACTCCCACCCTTTGAGCTAGCTTTTGGGGTGGTGTATCCCAAGGTTCTTTACATGGTATCAGAGCCGTTCGATCCTCGCCGCCCCCCCGCCCCCCGCTTTCTTCAAGTGGAATTTCTTTGTTCACACAGGTAGGTGAGCTTGTGCATTGTCCACCCTTCAAGCCCATTGTCCACCCTTCAAGCCCAGTGGACTCTCGTGTGAGGGGGCGTGTTGAGATATATAGTCCCACATTGGTTGTATGTGCAACTAATGTGGAGTTTATAAGGCCTTAGGCACTCCCACCCTTTGAGCTAGCTTTTGGGGTGGTGTATCCCAAGGTTCTTTACATATATTGTTAGTATCTAAGGTATAGTCCATATAAAAATCTATATAGACTGTTTTTAAACCATGTATGAATTTTTCAGGGTTATGGAAGTGAACAAGTGTAATGAAATTATTATGTTTTTTGGGTGAAAATGATCTTACTGTTTGAGAACTGCAGAATCTCAAGGCAGTGTAAAGCAATGGTTGAGAATTTTAGTATTGCTATATCTGAACAGTTATAGGCATTTGGATTCTTCATATATCATATTGGATGGGTATAAATTGACTCTCAGAAGATTTTTAATTGACCAGAGCTGCTAGCTATTGATTGCTTGAATCATGTTGTCATTTTTACAGTTCATTGCAGTTATTCAAGCAATTTTGTCTGCTGGAAAACTGCTTCAGCAGCTAAACGTTGGAGAGGGGCATAATACTACATTGCGGTCTAATCTTTTAAAAAAGTTAATTTTGACGGCTTCCTCTGCCAGCGTTATTGGCAATGCTGCAAAAATGTTGTCATCTTTAAACAAAGACTGTGCTGATCAAGGAGATCTAACAAATTTGATCATTGCATCCGAGGGACAATTTCCAGAGGTTTGTCTATGTCCTTTATGTGAAAAATTTACATTTTACAATTTACTTTTGTTGGGCTTCGTTTTATTTTTGTGCTTTAATCCTGAACCTTGTTGATATTATTACTATGAATAGGTCATCAGAACTCGGAAGGCTTTTCGGATGGCAGTGGAGCAATTAGATTCATTGATTGACTTGTATCGCAAACGGCTTGGAATGCGAAATTTGGAATTCTTGTGTGTTTCTGGCATAACTCATTTGATAGAGGTAGTCTAATTGAAACATGGAAAATCCTTAATATTTCAACATCACAGATGCTGGAAATACGGTTACAAAGTGTCATTTCGTATTCCAGTTCTTTGTGTTTTGTTTCTCACTTTTTGGTTGTTGCCTATTGTAACCCCCACAACCCCCCCAAAAATAAAAAAATTGATCTTGAACGTTTGCTCATATTGCATGGATGTTGTATGATATTTTTAGTACTCCAAACTTTTGTCTTAACTCTTAAATTGATAAACCGGAGGAGTGGTTTTAAGGAAAATTATGCTCATACTTCTCTTTCCCTTGCCCCACCTGCACTCCTCGAAAGAAGGGAAGGGATGTATTGGCAATGTTTACTGCCTGTTGCCAATTGGTTATTTTGACTGTTTCTAATTTTGAAGTTGATATTACTAACTGTCTCAGTTTTATTTTCCTTTCTTTCCGTAATCTTAATATTTAATTCCAATTGTCTTTTTCTTGTTGTTTTTTAGTCAGAAACTATGATTTAACAATTGAGTTCAAAACTATTATATGTTTCCATTGCACTAATGCTTGATTGTGAATAAGCTGTAATTGCTATTCATTTTATTTTGGCTGCAGTTATCAACTGATGTAAAGGTTCCTTCAAACTGGGTTAAGGTAAATAGCACAAAGAAAACAAATAGGTATCACCCTCCTGAAGTAGTGACAGCATTGGACAAGTTATCATTAGCAAAAGAAGAGCTAACTGTTGCCTGTCGAGCTGCTTGGGGTAGCTTTCTGAGGGACTTCAGTAAATACTATCCTGAGTTTCAAGCTGCTGTTCAAGCTTTAGCTGCTTTAGATTGTTTGCATTCACTTGCCATTCTTTCAAGAAATAAGGTTTATTTTTGAAGGAGTTCTTAACTGCCAGCAAATATTTGCCATATTTTGTAATATAATTCTCTGTTTTCTACGGCAGGGATATGTTCAACCAGTGTTTGTAGATGCTAATGAGTCTGTTCAGATACAAATTTGTTGTGGTAGACATCCGGTATGAATTAAATGGTTTTTAAGTTCATATGAAATTCAGCATATTGTTTATTTGAATCTATTTGAGTTGCAAATTCATACCTGTCATCATTTGGGTTGTTGTATTTAATGCATGTCATCATGTGTATTTATTTCCTGCAAAGTGTTTGTCAGCTTTTCTAAGATTTCTGGGAGGGCTGAGAGCATTGGCTTTAGGATAAAAAAGTTTGTGTTTGAATGACCTATGCAACTTTATCTGATGTTCACTTAACCCTTTATTTTGTATTATTTATTTGATACCAGATAACCAGAATACTGAAACATCAAAATTAGTCATAGTTGATTCAAGTTCCTCATTGTTGATTGGTAACCAGAGGCTCATTATTGTAAGTCATTTCTGTGCAGATTTTGGACACTACCTTACAAGACAATTTTGTCCCAAATGATACAAACATGCATGCAGACAGAGAGTACTGTCAGATTGTTACTGGACCTAATATGGGGGGAAAAAGTTGCTATGTTCGCCAGGTGGCTCTGATTGCTATAATGGCTCAGGTAGAATATACAGTGTCTGTTATATTTCTTCTTTAATTTGCTGTCATTAATGCATAAACCGTATCCGTTATATTTGATCCCTAACTAAGGTATTGGATGCCTTGTTATATAAATGTTATAGAGGTATATATCAATGATGTTCTCAATGTTTTGGGTAATTAGATCATGCCTAGAGCACATGCTTTACTTTGTAGATGACTAAGGGAAATTATTCTTTCTGGGAAAGGTTCTGATATATCAAATGTCTTGAAATTAATTTATCTTTTTCTTTCAAATTATTTTCTATATTTTCAACTTAAATTGAAGGGGATGAACCAGAGATCACAAGTTCAATTATGTAATCAGCCTCTTGCAAATGCAAGGTAAGGCGGCGTAGACCCACATAATGGTTTTGACCCTTCCCTAAACCCTACTCGTAGCAGGATCTTTATAGCACCAGACTGCCCTTATTATCAACTTAAGTTGTTGAACTATTTCCATCTCCTAAAGATTTCACCTACTGCTTTTCTTTGGCAACCGTGTCTCTTACGGCTATTGCTTTATTAAAACATGCCCTGATCTCTCTAGGTTGGTTCCTTTGTCCCAGCATCATCAGCAAAACTGCATGTCCTGGATGGGATCTACACCCGAATGGGTGCTTCTGACAGTATTCAGCAAGGGAGAAGCACCTTCCTCGAAGAACTAAGTGAGACTTCACATATACTCCATAGCTGCACAGGACATTCACTGGTTATCATTGATGAGCTTGGGAGAGGTACAAGTACACATGATGGTATGGCCATTGCTTATGCGGCTTTACATTATCTTCTAAAGCAAAAAAGAAGCATGGTCCTCTTTGTCACTCACTATCCAAAGATTGCCAACCTGGGAACTGAATTTCCAGGCTCTGTGGCAGCATATCACGTATCACATCTGACCTCACACGATGATGCCAGTAAAAAGTCCAACTTGGATCATGAAGATGTCACTTATCTATACAAGCTCGTGCCTGGTGTATCAGAAAGGAGTTTCGGATTTAAAGTGGCCCAGCTTGCACAGGTAAATTCACAGAATTATAGAATATATTACTTTGCTCTGCTGCTAGAGCAATTGGTTGATTTTGTTTGAGTTGATGAGAAATATTTGACACAAATGTAAATCTTCCTCATTTAGAGCAAGTCTGTTCATTGCAAACAAACATTAGGGCTAAGTAATTTTGGGATTGCCTTGGCATCTAGGCTTGTGCACTGAGCTCGCTAATGATAAGTTGTTGAATTTTCTAATTTTAAATCTCATTTAAGACAACTGGAAACATCATGCTTTTCAGTTACCATCCCATTGCGTTAGTCGAGCCATTGTCATGGCTTCCAAATTAGAAGCACTAGTAAACAGCAGAATACATAGTAGATCAGGAAAGGAGCTGCTATTGGATGCCTCGATGATTGATCAAGGGCAAGAACCACATCAGCTCATGGCTCAACCACATGATTGTCCACGTCAAGAGTTTGGTAGAGCTTACAAGGAATTCTATTCAAACTTAAAAGCTGCAATACTAGATGATGACCATGCCAAAAGCTTTCAGCTTTTGGAGCATGCTAGAAGCATTGCTAAGAAATTAATTGTCAGGTGACGTACCACTTTTTCCTTTTTAATCTTTCCATTTTCTTAAGAAGAACGTATATTGTTAACTAAGTTTGTATCTCATTAGTAGTTACTTATTAGCTCTCTCCATGTCGCGTACATATTGGTGCGTTCCCCCTCTAAGAAAAGGAGGAGGGCTTGCATTGTGACCTGATTATCTGTTTAGACCTTTAACTCATTTTTTTTTTCTTGCCAGATATTATCTACCTTTTATATTTACTGTCAAAATTTTTGTATCAGCCTCAAATGAGGGTGTAACAAGTAGCTTTATTAATTATGTTTCCGTTGATTAACTTGCTGATTTGTTTGTGGTTGATGACTTGCATTGATTTAAAATTTTCATCACATCTCTAATTGAATTTTCTTGTGCTTTAACAGATCATACAGTTTGTATAAATGACATGACATGCAGAAGCAGGGTTCAGAAGGTATCCTCCTGCGTAGATAATATTTTGCATAAAAAATTTCGTATTTTTGTTTAAGTTTAGCATTCCAATTTTTGTTTCTTTACCTTCCTCCTGCTTGTTTATATTTTTGTAATTTCCGTAATGCTTGGGAGCTGATTTTATTTACTAGTTACTACGATGTATACGGGATGTTGAAATTTGAGGCAACGAAAGTAAAAGCTCCACTAATGATGGTGATGTTACTTACATTTAGTCTGCTGCAGTTATCCTTAATTTTGCAAGCAAATGGCATCATTTGTATTATGATAAGATTCAACCAGTCGATAGCAAGCCTTTTCAGTTGAAGTTGAAAATATCCCCACAAAAAAAATTTAAAAAAGAATGGATAAACTAATGATACCCTGATCGAGCTGGAAGCAGGGAGGTAATTAGTGGGCAATTAGCTTTAAAGGGTAATGACTTATATGGTTTTTAATCATTTGATTTAGGGTGACAATTCCTTTGTTGATTCTGGATTTTAACCATAATTTATCTTTCTAAGCTCTCATATTTATGAACAGGTTTGACTGTTGATGCAGTTTTGATTAGGATGTAATAGAAAATGTGAAATTGAGACTCCTTAAAGTTCCTCTGTTTCTAATTTAAAATGGGAAAGTTTAGCTGGGACTCTGAATTTGCTAATGGAATGTTTTTGAATTGGATAGGTTTGGTTTGAAAATTTAAATTTTGTACTTACGTTGAATTGTCAAAGTTAGGTTTGCTGCATTATGCTAGTAAAACTTTATTATTTCTCTACTACTAGTTCATACAGGGTGGAAAGGTATACATAGCTTTTGCGTATATTGTAAACTTTAGCCATTTCAAAGGTCCTGAATCGGATAATCGTCATAAATATAATGTTTTTTCTAAATAAAATACTGATAAAGCTCTCTAGATCAAGTTTCCTTATTATATCTAGTGCAGTGTGTGTCACTTAAACAGCATTTTATTGTTTATTTTGAGTTGTGTTTTTTAAATTCAGTTTAATTTTGCATTTTGAGTTAGATTTTAATTAAATTTGTTATTATTTTTTCGTAGGTAATTAAATTTTGAGGAAGTTGGTAAAGGATAAAAGATTCAAAAAAAAAAAAAAACTGCATAGAGAATAGAGCCAGCCGAATTTCAAGAAGAGAATCTTCCTTACTAACATACTGGTATCATGGTCAGATAAAAGAGGAAAAGCCCCGGAAACAGTGAACTTGCTATAAATAATCGCTATACACAGAAGATTGAATTATAACAAGACTAGGGGTGAGAATAAAAACGTTTGCATGTCAATGGCTACGAGTTAAGAGCCAACATTCTATTTCTACGCCTCTAGAGCAGTGGCTAAACCATTAAAAATATTTTTAGTACCAAGACTTTTGCTTCCACGTAAGCTCTTCTCTTCTTGAACAACAATAGCTACTTTTGAATGCTTTTCTAAAACTTATTTTAAGTGAAAGATGAATGATTCGAGATTCCTTCTAATCTGGATAACAAGCGGTGGTTTCTTCTCTGTTTATCCCCATAGATCTCCTCAAACCTTAACCATAGAAGTAAAGAAGGAAATATTTTCAAGAAGGTTACCTAATAAGTTAACCCACGAGTCATAAACCACGTCCTTAAAATTAAAACAATCATCATCATGTAACAAGAAAAGGGAAAGGCAACTTCCAATCAAGGTTAGCCACGACATGCTGTGAAAGGGTGCCCCATAAATCCGAGGTCCCTCAAGCCGCATGTAATAACAGACAAGAACTGAACCTTCCAGAAGCACCGCAGGTTGTGTGAAATTTTTATCTTTATCTCTCTTTTTATTAATGTTGAATAGACTTCATTTATTTAATGCATGTTAAAAAAAATATACACAAATTTTTTTACATAATACTCTCATGTAAAATTATAATATGAGAATGTACTAAAAAAAAAAAAAAAAAAATTAATGTGAGAGAAATTTTATATTGGTATTTACCATTCACCATGGTGTTAATAAATGCCCCCACCAACCCACTGCCGGCAAGTTAAATTTGAAGTAATATTCTTCTCCAGAGAGACCCCAAAGATCACTACGAGGGCAACTATATATCACACTGAAAGACCAAGGACCCTCATTATTATGTATACGGTACGAGACTTGCATATCCACACATAAACTAAAAGACAAAGTTAAGGCCCAAACCAAATATAATATTAATAACATGACATTAACATGTCAATTCATTTGAGTCTACGCAGGTTCTAGTATATCAATCAGCATTAATGGCTTTAATTAGTAGTTAGACCTGACCTCTCAGTTTGAAAGAGTAATACATACATGTCTATACTCTATACCATTAATTCCATGGGGCAATTGACTTAGTTTTCGTAGGTTTGTGTATCTCTATCAGAATTGAAACCCTTGGCAAGAGTATGAGATCAAATTGATCACTATTATCTTCTATTTTTCTGTATCTGTCAATTCCTGAAATGGTAAGTTATTTTTACCTCCAAAAAAAGAGTATGAGATCAAAATTAACCTGTGCTCTATATAGGGATTACGATTAGTAATTTAAAACCTTGTTAATCTCAAATCAACCACAAATTTTACTTGAGACTCTTTCACTTCAACTTAATTTATTTTATTTATTTATTTATCGAAGTTAATACTTAAATGGCTGAATATTATATGGGAAAAACTACTCTCCATCCGCGGGAGAGTAGTTTATTTTTCTACAGAGACATTGGACGTTTAGCTTTTTTATTTGTATTTTTTTATTTTACAATTATGTGAGTCCCATTGTATGATTGTGAAAGTAATAAAAGATAATCTCCCTTATGCAACTGTAGATTAGTAAAGCCCATGTTATATTCAGGTAATTTTGAGTGAGAATACATAAACTAGTCAATAATGAACGAGTTCACAGAGTCAAGACAAAAACTATTGATTATTTTCAATCACTAGTGCGTTTATTAATTCGATTGACCTGTACATTTTGCTAAATGGATGTATGAAAATGATGCATAGTTATTACTTGTTAGACCTTCCAATGTGAATGGAGTTAATATGAATTATCAAAATATGCAAGCCAAGTATCGGGTGCCATGGCAACAGGGTAAGATAAATATTCCAGCATTTAAATTATTTCAAAATAAAAATTTATCTATTTCCGTATATAAAGAATCAATATATTCCCATACACATTATATGAACATAAATGTTGATTATCCAACCTAAAGAAGGATGGGTAGGATAAAACCTTTTTTGTGTGAAAGAGAGTAAAAAAAATTATTTAAATAAACTAGTCTAAGTAAAATCAGACATACATGTGATTTATAGTACATTTACACTTGTTCTCACATTATTTTACATTTACATGATTTTTATTATCTAATTATAATTGGTTTCATTCTTAATATTTTAATTTTATTACATATCGTACATGTTATATATATATATATATATATATATATATATATATATATATATATATATATATATTTGGCATACATGTAAAAATTCATTGTTTATGATTTTATTTGAGCTAACTTTTACTTGAATGTAAATCTTATTTAAAACGATTCAAATTTTATATAATTATTAATTACATAATGTAGTAACCGGGCTGAAGCCCTGAAATACAAAAACTTGTAACGCTCGTTGTATTTACTTACATTATTTTTAAATAAAAGAAGCGTCATGGTATGAAACGTAGTACGTAATAAATTTATCATACATATAAAACCTATGTAGCATCGATACCGACACGGGACACGATACGACACGTTATTTCAACACATTAATTCTAAAAAATGTTAGATTTTGACACGTTAGGACATGTTTTGATATTAAATAATATTTTTAATTTATGTAGTGTATATTATATTTAATATTCAATAATTTAACAAAAAAATGAAACTAAACTTATAATATTCATCAATTTTGTAAAGAAATATAATATAATATATTAAACTCAATAAAATTGTAATCGTAATCCAACGAATTTAATAGTTGGAACCAAAAACTCAACGCAGTGCAACCTTTGAATTTTTTTTGAATTTCTATAACGCGTGTTGGAGTATCAGGAAGTGTCAAGAAGTGTCAGACACGACACGTCAGAATTTTTGAAGTGTCAGTATCTCCTTGTATACAACAACCATTCATTCAAGTATTGCTTGAACATTCAGAGTCATGTCCATGAAAGAAAATGATGAAAGCTTTCAATTTAATATTTTCTTATATTTTATTCTAATCATTTACAATAAGAGTATGTAATTAAGAGTAATAAACTGATATAATAGATAACAAAAGGAATTATAAGTATGAATACACTGCCAAAAACATTAAATTTGACTTCTTCTTCTCCTTCTTTTTAATTTTTTTTGGGTCATTAGTTAACATGAAAACAGCGGGTGTATTAGTGGATTTCCTAATACACGTCCAAGCAAGCACCAAGCCAATTGAACTTGAAAAACCGAAAAAAATAAAATAAAATAAAAATTGTATGTCTAAATTATAAAAAGGGTTTAAATTGTCTCCTTTTATCGGAGACAATTATCTTATACTAGTGAGGCATAAAAAACGGTGTCATTCTTTTTCTTTCTTTTTTCTTTTTATAAAATGATGGGACCCACATATTTTGTTTCTATGGCATGATGCAAGTTATTTTCTATTAAAGGAGATTAATAAATTTCATTATAAAAACCCTTAATTACTAAACAGCTTATTTACTATTTGAGTCATCTTTTATAACTATGTAAATTAATTTTAGTATATTCCAATGTAATACTTTTTTATAATCTATATCTATACTAAAGGAAAATTATTTTTTGACAAGTTTGCTGATGTGCCGCTCTCTACTTCAATATTCACTTTGTGTTCACACTGTAAACCACTTTAATTTTTTTCACTTTTAGAAACATTTCAAATTTGAATTTTTTATTTGATAGTTGGGAAAAAAGTTCAGCATTCATTATAAAATATTTCACTTTTCAAATTTGAATTTTGACATTTGAACTTGATGTGTAAAAAAATAGTTCATCGTTAATTACAAATATAAAATTATACTACTTTCTGCATTGAAAAGTGTTGAGTCTATTAATAGTGTTTATTATTATGTCTATTGGGTGGGAAAATATTTAATATTTGAAATTCAAATTTTTTAAATTTGAATTTTGAACTTGATTGGTAGAAAAAGAGTT